CTCTCTCTCTCTCTCTCTCTCTCTCTCTCTCTCTCTCGCTGTTTTATTTATTTATTTCCATCCCTTTTATGGCATAACGATTGGTGGAATACAACGATCCGATAAAATTGCAAAACAACTTCGGGCGATTACGCAGATTTCACGTTACGCCACAGAGCTATATATGCGTAAAAAGAAGAATCCTGCGCAGAACCCCGGCACTTTAATTGTGCCTATAGCTCGACTGTGATTTAAGGATTCTTATATTTTACATTTTCACGTGTTTTACCGTACATCCACTTTTGCAGTAATCGTAATGTAACAATAATAATATTACGTCATCATTTATTCAAATAATAATGGTACGTGTCCGAATTATTAAATGATGGATTGTGCTGGAAAAACAGAATAATTATAAATATATGAGGATTAAAAATAATACAAATGGATATGTGCGATCATTTAAAGAGGGAGTAAAATCTAGATTTAAAAATCTAGATTTGCTTTATCAATTTTGTGCATGCATGTATAATAAGGGACGTTCTAGAAAAAGTGATCTATATTTCAAATAAGACGAAATCGAATCATATTTATCCATTTCTAGCATCCTCCGTCGTTCTTTATTCTAAGATGTCCTCGGAAACCTCTCCTCTAGTGGTACACATAAATCTTGTTACTCGAGGGGAATTGGACGTTACAAATCGCCTCGTCTTTCAGCTACAATAAGCATTGCGAAGGTGCATGCACTCGTCCAAACATAAGGATGCTAGGAACAGGTGCATCGGGTGGAACGAGATAACGGCGAAGAATTATATTTAAATAGAATAGACGGAGATATACATATATATGTATAGGTAGATTTATGTGTGTATTTTATATATATATATATATGTGTATAATGTGCGCACACACCTACGCACATATTTTTGTGTATGTATATACAAACCGAAAAAATTTATCGTAGTATCACTTTTGTCGAGCGATAATGTGCACACAGGGGCGACGAAACACGGTAAGCGAGTTCGGCATGGCGGGGGGAGGAGGCACCATGTTAGTGGCGCCTATAACATCGCGTACCTATATATACTGTATAAGATTGAAATATAATAATATATCAAAACTTAAATTATACAAAGGATTTGAACTTTAAATAGAAATAATTAATTAACAGATACCTTATTCTTTAATTTATTTTATGAAAGCTTTACTTATAAGTTTTTAATTCGAAATGTGTCCTCACAAAATTTATATAAACTTATAAATAGCGCGAGAAGGCGAGTAGTGACACATCTGTACTTATCAGAGAGAGAATCTTACTAAAGTTTGATGTGTAAACCTTATGTAGTCTGTATAAGAGCACCTGCCGGCGGCGAAAATGTTCGTTGCAAGCCGCACGATTCTGTCGTCTTGTGCAGGAATAATTCATCTTGAGGTAACATGGCGCGCACGGTACCGCATCACTGATACACGTCTCTGTATACCGCTATTTTCTACACGCGCATCCGGGTGCAGGTAATATGTGGGTCAAATTAACAATATGCATAGTGCGCACATGAGAAATCAAGGGAGGAGAAAGAGAAAGGGAGCGCGAGGGAGAGAGAGAGAGAGAGAGAGAGAGAGAGAGGGAGAGGAAGAGAGAGTAAGAAAGAGAGAGAGATTATTAACGTTGCGCGATGAAAATAAGAGACGTCTTTTAAATCTTACTTCGCGCGCAAGTGCTAATTACGTCGTCGTGCAGAAAGCCCTTTGTAAATGACGCTTTGAATAATCTCTCAAATGGAAACCACCACCATTATAAAGACCGTACAACTAAAAAGTAAAGTTGTATTTTAATTTTGCATTCTAAAAATGCCTTTGAGCATACTAACTAACTTCTAAAAAAAGCCGAGCATGAAAATCAAATAATGTCACTTGTGATTTCATAACTGAAGTATATTTATTGATTAATAAAAGAACAGGAAGTTATATAATACATTTAATTATTTAAAAAATGCATCATATGTTAGTTAAACTAAAAATAAATATAAAACAAATTATATATATATTAATTATATGTAATTATATATATTATAGGTATAGTTAAGACTATATATATACTTAATTAGCTTTATATTAGATGTACAAATTAGTTCGATCCGTTTTTTCTGTTCAAAAATGCATTTATTTCAAAACAAAATGAATGAACAGATTAATTAAAGTATTGTCCATCGCTGGCTACTACTTTTTCCCATCTCTCAGGCAATTATCGAATTCCATCTAGAAAAAATGACTCGTCTTTGGAGGCGAACTAATTTGTACTCCCAATATATTAAAATAATTCGATTTATATTTTCAACAAAGTATTATTAATGTATACTCAAATATATAGTTATTATTTAAATATATAAATTTAATCACAGATTATCATGATATAGAAGAACCCTCTCTTTATAATAATATTATACATTATTACTTTTAATACCATTACCAATCACATATGTCACAATCCACAAATACTAAGAAGAATTAAGAAATGTAACTTTAAATTTAATTTCTATAAAATGCTTAAGATTTTTTCCATACAAAACAGATAAAATATCGAAAAGAAAATTACTAACATTTACCGCATATGAAAAGAATCTATTGCGAATACCGTGCGACGAGTCACCTACTTCGCCGAATTAAATTTCAAAATTAATCAACCGCATGTATTATCCGCCCGAGATAGAGACACAAGGATAGATGAGACGCGAGAGTACCGAGATGACATCGAGAGTTATGACGAACCGAGGGACTGTTTGCCAGATTTATCTGACGTTGCTCCGACCTTCTGCCTTCCTGGAACTGGTATACCTCGATTCCGCCCCGACGAATTTACGAGATATGGAACAACGCGGATTTGTTTATCGCGTTGTGGATTCCTGTCGGTATAGGATGATCTGTAGAACGTCTCCGACTAATACCTACACCGATCCTTCCACTTGCCTCGTATATGTCGCGGTTTGTACGTATATATCATATGGGACAAACACACAAGAGATCGATTCACCACCGAATGGGTTGTCGGAGGACACGCGCTCGTCAGTTAGCCACGTTGATGGCAACGTGGTCCTCTTGGAAAAAGGATATCACCACTTTTTCCGCAGAACATCGGAGATGTCTATGCTGACTAAAGTACGGCTTACGGAGTCGCTCAACCAACAAAGCAGCTTACCGACCTTTCTGTCCAATCGACGTAAATTGTTTCGCCAGTATTTTGCGGAGTTTGATCCTTTTCGCTTTCACATTGGAGGAGATATGTTAAAGTTGTGCGATATAAACCATAAATATTTAACTCGTGTAGTTATTTGCGGCGAATAAAAAAGTAACGATTATAAAAACATTAATCTTTTAATCGCTATTGAAAGTAAGTTTTTATATTGAATGAACAAATGAATATTTATAGAATTTGAATTAACTTCGCGGCGAAAGGTGTCGCGCAATGGAATCAAAACATGACTTTGTTATCTATTTAAAATTAATTCAGTTAAATGATCCAATTTGCATATTAAATAACTTCGTTACACTCATTTTTCCATCAAACTTCGATGGAAATAATAAATGTTTCCTGTCGTAAAGTAAACTTTTAATGACATCAAAAACTGCACATTTGTCTCTTTTATTTTTTTACAAGCAAAAAAGAGTACTGCTATTGTGCATAAAGCACGAGTTCAAAGTGATCATGCATATATACATATACATGTACATACACACAAGAAAATAAAATAGGACAAATATTTTGCTACAAATCACTTCGCTCTTATCGTTTATAGGCTTTCTTTTCTTCTTAATGAAAAGAGCAAGTGGTAATCGAAGCCGTCGTCGCGACCGGAATTGTGCACGACGTTACACGCGACAATTTCGTAGAAATCATATTTCCAGATACACGAGATGAAACTACACGCTCGAGAAAGGAGAAAATTACATGCTTTCCGATCGTATATATACGTGCAATGAGCAATCTGATAAACGTTAGACAGTGGAATTGAGAAAAAAGGAAACTTTCAACAAAACGCGATGGTATCAATGAATCTCTGTATATAAATAAATAATACGTTTTATTATTAAATAATAGTCTTAAATAATTTCTCGTCGACGGATAAAATGTATTCTGATACATCATATTTCGAATAAATTGAGTACATTATAACTCGAATCTTGATTATTATTCTATCGTTCGTCTCTATTACCGCAATTGATTTCTCGTGTTTATTTTATAATTAACAATTAATGAAGCTAATAAAAGAGTGAAGTTAATGAAAATAAAGGTGGGAGGAAAAGAGAGAAGAAGCCGCGATAATATGATCAATAATCACAAGTATCCGCTGAACAGACATCCGTGGGGAACAGATGCGCGTTTTGTGGACGGTAGAAACTAATAAAATCGTCGCGGAGTAACTCCAGCTGACATATGTTTACAGACCAGACTTCTTGTGGAGACCATTAGTCCACGGCAAGGGGTGGTCTCTTGTTATCGGCAGCACACATTTTATATAGACCGGTGCAGCGCAGATTGCGGCCGCGGTTTAACCAACGATAATGCCCCACTTGCTCCGATACGTAATGTCGACTATATTTCGTGCCACTCGATCGCTGTGCACTTGTACAATTCTCCCTTCGCCATAAGGCGAGTATTAACTCTTTCCGACAAAATCTGTCTCTCGAATCTGATTGCGACGATTATTCCGATGAAATGTGAACGCCTTAGAAATAAAGTGTCATTTACGTTGATAATTAATTCTTGATGAAGTAGTAAAATTTTTTCGTATTCCTGTTATTCTTCAGACAAAATTGTAGCATTGCTTGTATAAAATTTTAACAAAGTTCAATATAGATACACATTTATTTAATAAAAAATAATTCTATTATATGTGTAATGAAAAAAGCATTTCATTATATATGTATAAATCTTTGCTTGGTATAAACGAACAAAAGCTAATATCCTTCTCTTTTAAAGATGCAAGAATTAGGTCTGCCTAGACAGCGATTATTACTACTGCGAAGTGGGACGCCATTAGATCGATCGAACAAGCAATTCCATCTTAACATAAATTCGCGCACGTCGCTCAAAGTGACAAACCTATGTCCTGATTTAGTATGTGTGCTGAAAGAGCAGCATTCACTCTTGATAATCAAAGACGAGAATGCCGATTAGATGTGATGCTTCTATATCGATCCAAACATTATATTGTCCACGACATGCAAGACTGTAAGTTAATTGTGATGGAAATATTTATGAATTTATAAATGTATCGCAACTAAAAATAACTATCTTTTTGATCTTTTTCAGTACGCATACTAAATCAGGACGTTTGTCATTTTAAGCACGAATCTATAATATATTAAACAGGAATTGCTAGTTCGATCGATCCCTCTTCAAAGTAGTAATGGGTCTATCTGGTCAGACCTAATTCCCACTCTTCCAAATAAAAAGAGGGAAAACATTACTTTTTTTTTTCAATTATCCATCATCATTTTCTGTATTCAAACAAAAGGACGCTTTGTATATGAATAATGTATTCGTGTTAAAATTTTAACTTCATAAATAGAATTAATAAACTTTCTCTTCAAAATAAAATACAAACTCCCAAACGACAGTGAATTAATTATTAAAATAAAACAATTTCATTGCATCAAATCTTATTGGACTGTGAGAGTTAAGTACGAAAGTTCATATATGAAATGTCATTAGACTTGACCTTCTTTGTTCTTCTCTTTGAATCTCTAAATATATATCACTCGCTAGGCAAGAGGGGGTTAAATCAGCACGCTTGACACTTGCCCCTAGTCTCAGCAGAGATCTTCGAAGAGCCGTTGACGAATACGTTAGACGTGCAGACGACATGCGCGCGTTTGAAGGACGACCGACGACGAGAAAGGCGACTTTGGCGAGCGGAATAAGGAGAAAATGTCTGAATAGCGGTGTGCCAATGAAAGGCTTCTGTGAGATTGATTGAGCGAATCGGAGGCGAAGCGTGACTGAACAAAGCGTGGAATAAAGGCTGCGCCAGAAATGCCATTCGTACATAGCGAAAGGTTAAGGTGAATTTACACGATTCACACTTTATTACAATCCAAAATGATTACGTCGGGTAAACGGGTTTTCGTTCGAGTGCATTCATCAAAATATAATCGGGATTTAATTATTCAATGTACACGTCCAGGTCAGATTTCAATAAAAATTTTACCTGAACACGTATAAATTTATGTGTTTAACATTGCTTTTTATCGATTAGAAAACCGATAAATAATAAAGAATAATAAACGGTTGACAATTTAACTATAATGATTAACTAATGACTATACCCAGAGCGCATCGAAATGGTCTTCTCGAAACATATTCACAATTTCTCTTTTCACGTGGACAGGCATTTTTGTGAAAACATTGTTCGCAAGGCTCACTGCTTTCTCACGCTGCATAATTTATTCGAGCTGATCGTCGAGGAAGCATTGCATAAATTCGTCTTTAAAAGGCGTGTCGCACGTTCTCCACTCAGCGCGAGATAAAAGTCGACACTCGGCGTCGTTTACGACAATAAATAAAACGTCGCAACGCCGAGAAAGAAATTGAATGAATTACGATACGTCTCCGTCCGCCTCTATCTTTCGTAACGTGACTTTAATTTACGATTTGTGAAGATTCGCGTCGTATTCTCGCCATTCTCGGTTTTCTCTTATTCCGCGCTGCACGCGAATGCACTCTTCGTAATTCTTGATTTTCGAAAGTACGCTTTTCTATTCAACATTCACATAACTCTCCACATTACAATAATTAATGGATTTTTTGTCGCCTCGTAAAATGAAAATTATGCTGGACACATACTCTTAAAAAAAATAAGATTGGAAAACAAGAGCATTTAGGTGATTTACTTTTTAAACAAAATTAGTTATGACATACTTAATTACGAAACAAATTATGAATATCGAATCTGAGAGTGTATAATATTAAAAACACTTAAAGCCTCTTATAAATAATTCTAAATACATAAATTATAATAATTTGCAAATCGTTAATTGGATGTCATAGCGGCAATAATCTGGCATAATCGTTTTAAATAGTTCGCGGTTTCGATGCGATCCAATCGACAATCACACGTAAATGCACGGTTACGCGTGTCACACAACCTGTCGATGATTTATCTGAGAACTGCCGATAACCGAGCGGCGGTCTTCGCAGTGATTAAATCGTCATGCGGCTGCTGGCGTGACGTTATCGGGGTCGTGTGCAAATCACAACGGAGAAAGGCAAAGGCGAAATTTGAACGACGTAACAATGGTGGCAGTTACAGAGGACGCGATACAATTGGCAGGCCTCACGTCGGGGTATATGCGGTTACGACGGGATGATCCAAGGATGAACGGATAGAGGCCAACGTTGCGACCAGGCTTTGATGCCGCGCGTGCCACGCAAACACGCTAAATTCGCTCGTCCGAACACCCGTTCCGGATTGGTTGGACTGTAATGCCAAACTACCTGATCAACCGACGCCACTCGATGTCGGAAGTCGATGCCGCTAGGCGCGATTGTTCATCGATAATCGTTGATTTATTGGCGGACAAGTCACGTACGAGTCGATGAAAGAGAATTTTATATATCGTCGTTACGTTATAGGTAAAACGAGAAAAAGACCGACAAACGCGTAATGAATCACGGAAACTCTCTTTGACGAAGAGATAATCGATTCGTCGCGAAGAACACAGGACGTTTGCTATCGTATGAAAGTTATTTATGATCAAGCAGATATATATAGGTTTCCTTTGAATTTGTGTTATTCGCGACACGCAAAAAGTATCATTCTTTCATAGCAGCTGAACACCACGAAATAAATCGACGAAATGCGCCATAAATTTGGTTCTTGACAGTGTATTCTTAGTAGAGCCGCATGCAAAATATTTTCCAGCGTTCCACGAGCTGCGTTTATTTTGCTCGCTCACAGCGACCAGATTAATAGTCGATCTGCCACCATTAATCCGCAAGTTTGTCCGGGCTCTAATTTAATCGCCGCAGCGAAGGATAATATTTTGTTGTAGCAGCCGAACGCGTCCGGACAGATCCGCCCATGCGATCGATAAATTCATCTGACGTATATTATATATTTTGGAAGAGTTCCCGAGAGAATATTTTCAAGTTTCACACACTCGCCGTTTGCCTGTCGCGTGCATGACATCTGGATTATTTGTCGCCGCACCAACTATTAATCCCCGGTTTATCCTGGTCAAAGATTAAATCTCCCCTAGTTTTTTATCTCTCGCGAAACAAATAGAGTTAATGCATACCTATAGTAACGAGAGAACATTTTGCATTTAAAAGTCCTCAATTTAATATCCTCCTCAAAAGGGTTTTAATTTAACTCTTGAAATCCTCCTCGAAAAAACTGAACGTAACAACCTTTCTTGCCATTAGAAAAAGATAAAGTATAATATCTGTACTAGAAATCTTTATAATGTCATATAAAAGGTTTGTATAAGTACAGTTATCGCTTACAAAAATAGTCTACGTGGTAAGTTCCATAATAAGTTGTTATGAAACTGTAAAAAAAAAAAAGGGAAAAGAAAAATGGGTATCACGGCGTGCAAACCCGGTAAGTTACTTCGAAGCCGCAGTGGGACATGGAGAGTTAACGCCAGCTTGCACCGCGGTAATATTTTATACGCGCAACAAAACGGCTTGGGAACAATAAGTACGAGCTATTTATCCGATGGTGCAATATCCATTCGTTCGCGACACATAGCATTATCGATGGATGCTTGTAAATTGCATTCGAATTCGTTGACCGCGGGACATGGCGACTCTTTGGCTGACTGGCCGCATTGTGCATTCTGCAGGGGCTTAGCGGGGGTGGTCAAGTGCCTCGGACAAGAATGTACGGGAGG